TATATATATATATAACTGTCAAATTCTTGTGTTAAAATTTATTGGGAAAAAATTAACTTATTTGTTAAAGAAATAGTGTATTAATTAAATCAGAGAAACAATTCAAATGTACATTTCAATGCGTCTAAGATTCAAGGGTAATGATATGAATAGTGACTCTGTAGACTTACTCCATTGCATTAAGTATCATGACAAATTCACTATGACGGTATTTCTTCCCATCCCGCCATGCGAACACGTTATATAAGAAAATGTTTTATTATTTACAATCGAAAAGAGAAGTGAATTTCCCCGAATGAAATGTTTAAAGCCCTTCAGAACTATTACCTGTAATAATTAAAGAGTCAACTACCCCCACCTAGTTTATAGAATGCCTTACAGAGAACGAGGAGACTCCATTACACCTTTCAAAGAATTACTTTCCCCGTGTACAGAGAACACCTGCTTCAAACCATCAAACGTGGCTTGCATGTGGGTAAACGCGTTGGTGAGTGAAGGAGAGTCTGCATTTTTATGAAAACCCCTCGCATTTATACAACGATCTTTGGAGCCGTTTCTTTGAGCTACAAAGAACCGCTTTGTGCGAGATGTGGCGTCCACGAGAGCGTGAGAAAACAATAGAGGAAGATTCAATTCTATCTCCCAAAGAAGACTTTTGGATTCAACGTTATTTGCACATCCAGTTGCTTTTATTCCACATGGAAGAAGCAATATTTATTCTATATTTGAGAATATTGTGTATCGAACCAAGATCATCTTAGTTTCCTCGCTTATTTTGTACGAACCGTGCAGGGGCAGATGGCATCTACGCGAAAGGAATAGGGAGATATTGAGTTCCACGCCGCTCGTGAGTTGAACCTCGAGACTTTCAATAAACCTTCATTCACATAGTGAGGCACAAAATAGCCACGCACGGATAATCACCGAACGCCCGATCCTATGGGAGCAGCCAGCAATAGCGAGGGGATGTGTGTCGGTGTTGAGAAAATACTCCTTCGTTCGTTGGAGTCGTCCAGAGGGCGCCGATCACAGCTTCTGAGTGACTGTCAAATCGGCGATCATCATCGTAGACGTATCAGCCCAACCGGACTGTATGTGGTGTCTGCCAGGTCACCTTCCTCGAACCATTACCTATTAGATGTATTGATTGATTGATTAGTGATTCCAGGCGCATCAACGGCTAATGTCAAATCCATTACAGTAGTACACACGTCCATCGTGCGAGGTGGTGGTGATGTCGCGTTCTGGATGGCGAGATCCGTGGCGGCTCGTGAGGTTTCCCCAATGAGGTATCTCCTCCCATCAGCGGGGCACCGCCCCACCCGACACGTTATAAGCTTCTGACTGACCTCACAATATGTGTGGCAGTGTAGTAATGATTATGTGTAAGGAGGAAGAATAGGACAAGGAATACGAAGGAAAAATCGCGCGTGGTTCGTGGCCGGTTTGTTAGGATATTGATCAGAGCAGCCGGCCGGGCCTAGCAGGCGACCAGACCTAGCTATTTAGGTAGAGTAGAAAACAGTCGGGACTCAAACCTAGGATCACCCGGTGAGATGCATCAATTGATGCCTTCTTTGCTATCCGGGATGAGCCGCGTCTCGGTCAATGGTGCTAGCACAATTGAGCGAGACGCGGCTCATCCCGGATAGCCAAGAATGAATTGACTCCGGCCGCGGAAGCCTACGAAACCGGCGTCAATTGATGCCCTGAGCCACTTAAACCGGTCGTAATGA